CATCATGAGCAGATTGGTACTAAACTAGCTGTAAGCCTTTTATTATGTGGCGACAGGTAATATAGAGAAGGTTTGTAGAAGAAGATGCAGAGCTGGGACTTAGCATGCGAACGGCGTAAAGGACCTTGTTAAAGTGTATCGTGGCATCCAATGAATCGTGCATTGATATAGGTTCTGAATATCGGTAATGCAGGAGGAACAGAGGGCGGTTGTTCCGCGCGCTGTAGTCGGAGTTGTCGAGCGAGCGTTTGCTTCCGTTCGTTTGGTGGAAGCTAATGTTTGTGTAGGTGGTGGATGGTTATTAGAGCCAACAGTAAAGGTGATCGATGGAGATTCTGCTACTTATATTGAAGTCATTATGCGAAAATGTAATTGCTTGTGTGTATTCGACTATATTACAGAGCGATGTTCAAGTATGCAGATGTGAGGTGATGGAGCGTGCACAAGGTGGGTGTGGCGATGGATGCATGAATCGCGCGGTATGAAGTCTCGTTTTTGTGATCGCTGCTTAGCGCCAGTGATGTATGGCGTTATTGTTGTTGCAGATGCGCTACGAATGCACGCAAGAGACTTGTCCATGTGGAGCAGAGTGTTCAAACCGACGGCTACAGATGGGCTCGACGGTGGCTACAGCGGTGATTGATTGTGGTCGCAAAGGCGTAGGCGTCATTGTACTTGAAGATGTGGACATTGGACGTTTCATCGGCGAGTATGTGGGTGAAGTGCTAATTCACCCACATACTCGCCGATGAAAGGCTGTGATGCGCTGTCAGGTACACGCTTGTTGTTGCATTGGTACTAACAAAACGTAAAATACTAACAGTATACTCGTGTAGCTCTACCGAGGTAACTTCTATATACTTCAACTGAGTCACGATTGAGTGATCGACGGCACGCGTTTCGGTGGCTGCATGCGGTTTATAAACCACGCTTGTACACCGAATTGCAGACTTGAGAAAATGGAATATTCGTGGCCACAAATAAAAACTATTGAGAACTTCCATGTTACTGCGCATCTACTACGCGACCAAGTACGTGACCAAAATGCAGGAACAAGTCGATTCGATCACGGCCGTCGCACTAGCTGCTTTCAAATGACGCCAACTGCGAGAGGCACGCAACACCGACGACAACGTCGAAACACCTGCGGCGGACTCTCAGCAGCGTACGGCAATTGGACGTCGGCGAGTCGCAGCGTTGGTGTATGCAATCACGAATCGTCGGGAGATCGCCGGCCCACTAGCTGCTCTGTACGTGCTACGTGGGTCGTGTGCATAC